TATGATTCTTTATTTAGGGGATCCAAAGAACTCTACTAAGAGACTATTGGAACTCATAGAAGAGTTTGGCAAAGTAGCAGGGTATAAAATCAATGCACAAAAATCAACAGCCAGCAGCCTTTGTATACACAGGCAATGTCACGGCTGAGGAAGAACTTCTAAGATCAATCCCATTCACAATAGCTACAAAAACAATCAAATACCTTGGAATAAACTTAACCAAGGACATTAAAGATCTCTACGATGAAAATTAGAAAACCTTAAAGAAAGAAATAGAAGAGGATACCAAGAAATGGAAAAATCTTCCATGCTCATGGATTGGAAGAATCAACATCATCAAAACATCCATTCTCCCAAAAGCTTTTTATACATTCAATGCAATACCAATCAAGACACCGAAGACCTTCTTCTCAGATCTGGAAAAAATGATGCTGAAATTCATATGGAGACACAGGAGACCTCAAATAGCTAAAGCAATCTTGTACAACAAAAACAAAGCTGGAGGCATCACAATACCAGATTTCAGGGCATATTACAGGGCAGTTGTAATCAAAACAGCATGGTACTGTACAGAAACAGATGGATAGACCAATGGAACAGAATAGAAACACCAGAAATCAATCCAAACATCTACAGCCAACTTATATTTGATCAAGGATCCAAAACCAATCCCTGGAGTAAGGACAGTCTATTCAATAAATGGTGCTGGGGAAACTGGATTTCCATGTGCAGAATCATGAAGCAAGACCCCTACTTTTCACCTTACACAAAAATTCACTCAACATGGATTAAAGACTTAAATATACGACCTGACGCCATCAAATAATTAGGAAGCATGGAGAAACCCTGCAAGATATAGGTACTGGCAAAGAATTCTTGGAAAAGACCCCAGAAGCACAGGCAGTCAAAGCCAAAATCAACTATTGGGATTGCATCAAATTGAGAAGTTCCTGTACTTCAAAGATACAGTCAGGAAAGTGAAGAGGCAACCGACAGAATGGGAAAAAATATTGGCAAACTATGCAACAGATAAAGGGTTGATAACCAGAATCTACACAGAAAACAAGAAACTCCACAACATCAAAACAAACAACACACTTAAGAGATGGGCCAAGGACCTCAATAGACATTTTTCAAAAGAGGAAATCCAAAGGGCCAACAGGCACATGAAAAAATGTTCAAGATCACTAGCAATCAGGGAAATGCAAATCAAAACCACAATGAGGTTTCACCTCGCCCCGGTTAGAATGGCTCACATTCAGAAATCTACCAACAACAGATGCTGGAGAGGATGTGAGGAAAAAGGGACACTAACCCACCTTTGGTGGGAATGCAAACTGGTTAAGCTACTATGGAAGTCAGTCTGGAGATTCCTCAGAAACCTGAAGATAACACTACCGTTCGACCCAGCCATCCCACTCCTTGGAATTTACCCAAAGGAATTTAAATTGGCAAACAAAAAAGCTGTCTGCACCTTAATGTTTATTGCAGCTCAATTCACAATAGCTAAGACCTGGAACCAACCCATCAACAGCAGACTGGATAAAGAAATTATGGGACATGTACTCTATAGAATACTATACAGCAGTCAAAAACAATGAAACCCGGTCATTTGCAACAAGATGGAGGAATCTGGAAAACATTATGTTGAGTGAATTAAGCCAGTCCCAAAGGGACAAATATCATATGTTCTCCCTGATCGGCGATAACTAACTGAGCACTAAAGGGGAAACCTGTTGAAGTGAAATGGACACTATGAGAAACAGTGACTTGATCAGCTCTTGTCCTGACTGTTGATGTACAATGTAATACTTTATCCATTTTAGTATTTTTTTGTTCTAGTACTATTGGTTGAACTCTGTAATTAACACACAATTATTCTTAGGTGTTTAAATTTTAACTGAAAAGTGATCCCTTTAAATATAAGAGTGGGAATAAGAGAGGGAGGAGATGTACAATTTGGGGCATGCTCAATCGGACTTGCCCCAAATGGTGGAGTTAGAAACGTGCCAGGGGATTCCAATTCAATCCCATCAAGGTGGCATGTACCAATGCCATCTCACTAGTCCACATGATCAACTTCAGTTCACAATAGATCACACTGATAGGTCTAAGAGCCAAAGGGATCACAGAAACAAGACTACTGTCTGCTAATACTAACTGGTAGAATCAAAAAGGGAGAGAACAATCCAACATGGGAAGCAGGATACACAGCAGACTCATAGAATAGCAGATGTCCTAAACAGCACTCTGGCCTCAGAATCAGCCCTTAAGGCATTTGGATCTGGCTGAAGAGCCCATGAGAGTATTTTAGGCATGGACAGCTAAGACACTCTGGGGAAAAAAAAAAGAAGACCTAAATGAAAGATCTCTGTGAGTGAGATCCCAGTGGAAAGAACGGGGCCATCAAAGAAGGAGGTACCTTTCTCTGAAGGGAGGAGAGAACTTCCACTTTGACTATGACCCTGTCGGAATAAGATCGAAGTCGGCGAACTCAAAAGGCTTCCATAGCCTTGGCAACTCATGACTAGAGCTTAGGAAGATTACTGATGCCATAAACAAGAGTGTCAAATTGTTAAGTCAACAACAGGAGTCACTGTGTACTTACTTCTCATGTGGGATCTGTCCTTAATGTGTTGACCAATGTGAAGTAATGCTATAACTAGTACTGAAACAGTATTTTTACACTTTGTGTTTCTGGGTGGGTACAAACTGATGAAATCTTTACTTAATATATACTGAATCTATCTTCTGTATATAAAGATAATTGAAAATGAATCTTGATGTGAATGGAATGGGAGAGGGAACAGGAGATGAGTGGGGTGTGAGTGGGAGGGAAATTATGGGGGGGGGAGCCAATGTAATCCATAAACTGTACTTTGGAAATTTATATTTACTAAATAAAAAAAGTCATAAAAAAACTTGACAAATGGACTTACTTCAAGCTAAGGAGCTTCTGCACTGCAAAGGAAACACTCAACAAAGGGAAAAGGGTAACTAACAGAATGGGAGAAAATATTTGTAAACTATGTAACTGATAAAGGATTAATATCCAGAATCTATAAAGAGCTCAAGAAGCTCAACAACAATAAAACAAACAACCCAGTTAACAAAGGGGCAAAGAACTTCAACAGGCATTTTTCAAAGAGCAAATTCAAACAACCCACAAACAATGAAAATAAGATCAGCATAATTATCCATCAGGAAAATGCAAATAAAAATGACAATGAGGTTTCACCTCACCCCAGTTAGAGTGACTCTCATACAGAAACTGACAAACAATAAATGCTGGTGATGCTGTGTGGGAAAAGATACCCTAGTCCACTGTTATTGAGAATGTGAACTAGTACAATCATAGCAGACAACAGTATGTAGATTCATCAGAAATATGAAAATAGATCTACCATATGACCCAGCCTTCTCAAAAGAAATGAACCAGCAAGTGAAAGTTATCTGTCCCTGCATGTTTACTGCACCTAAATTCACAATAGCTAAGTTATGAAATGCACTCGGATTCCATCAAGCAATGACTGGACAAAGAAAATGTGGCAAATATACACTATTGAATACTACTTATCCATAAAAAAGGATGAAATCCTGGAGCTGTCACTGTGGCGTAGCGGGTAAAGCTGCTGCCTGCAGTGCCAGCATCCCATATGGGCACTGGTTTGAGTCCCGGCTGCTCCACTTCCTATCCAGCTCTCTGTTATGGCCTGGGAAAGCAGTAGAAGTTGGCCCAGGTCCTTGGACCTCTATACCCATGTAGGAGACCCAGACGAAGCTCCTGGCTCTTGCCTTTAGATCAGCACAGCTCTAACCATTACAACCAAGTGGGGAGTTAACCAGCGGATGGAAGACCTCTCTCCTTCTCCCTCTGTCTCTCTGTAACTCTGACTTTCAAATAAATAAATAAATCTTTTAAAAAATATAAATAAAATCCTTGTTTGCAACAAAATGAATGCAACTGGAAATTATTATACTTACTGAAATAAGCCAATCCCCAAACGACAAATGTTTTCCCTGATCCGTTGTAACTAACAGAGTGCAAAATATATAATGTGTACGAGAAACTTGACATTTTGAGTACTGATTATTGTTTATAGCCTTTGTCACCACTGTTGAGGACCAGTGGTTTTTTTTCTTCTATTTGTTGAATTCTTTACTTAGTGGAGGGGTACACTTACGATTATAAAATACACTGAAAGTAGATCATCGTAATAATTGAGAGGAAATAAGAGAGGAAGGAGGAGGTGGGCTGGGAGCATGGGCAGGAGGGAACACAAGGTGGGAAGCATCACTCTGCTCCTAGATCTCTATATATGCAGTACTTGAAAATTGTTCAGCTGATAAAAATATTATTTTAAAAATGAAAATTGTGTTTTCCTATAAGAAGTATCGACATTACCCAAAACATTTCAGAGTAGCCATAATCATTGAGAAGATAGTAGGAGGCAGGATTAGAGCGAACATATAAGATACTACCACATATAATAAATTATTTTGCCACCTCATTCAAAGGTTAGTTCTTTAAGATATATATACAAATAATTTCTATTCCCTGTGAGTTTGGATAACATGTGTGGCCTGCTTTTTACTCTGTTCTTTTGCTTACTGACACTATCAGGGTATTCCAGGTGTTCTAAAATATAGAGTCAAAGGTCAAAACAGGAGCAGGCATTGTTGCACTGCCATTTAAGATACATATATCCTATACAGGTGTGCCTCAGATTGAGTTGTGGCTTCTCCACTTCTGATATAGCTTACTGCTAATGTGCACCTTGGGAGGCAGCATATCATGTCCTAAGTACTTAGGTTCTGACCACTCATTTCAGAGATCCAGATGGAGTTCCTGGATCCTGATTTAAGCCTGACCTAGCCCTGGCTGTTACAGGCACTGGGGAGTCCAGCAGGAGATGAAGGAACTTGCTCACTCTCTCTCCCTCTCTTTCTTTCTACCTTTTAGGTAAATAAATTATTTTATAAAAAATCAAAAGAAATACCTTACATATCCCCAAAGGTCACTTGGTCCCAATAATTGGTCAGATATCAAATATGTATTATGTGAAGTTGAAATAAAATAATCACTTAATGGTTGAGTCATATCTTGATAAACTCTTTTATACTCTGGTTTAAATAGCAGACATTCAGATGAATCCATGTATCTTGTAAAACCTTCAAATGACATCTGATGTACTTTCTTAACTGTAAAAAGAAGCAAAAATGATGCTGAAATATCATTAGCAATATAAATACTTCCTTCTCTCTTGTAAATTTATTCAGCAGTAGAGTACATTTCTAAAATATTTAGAATTAACATTTTTCATAATTTTTCTATGGAAATTATTTGGTGAATAGCCTTAGTTCTTCCATATCAACATTTTAAATATATTATTTAATTATTGCTGTTTTAAAAAGACATACAAGTAAGTTATATCTATCAGAACAATGAACTTCTGCAATCTACACACACAGATATGAATAACTCACGTCAAAGAACAGCACCCTAGTAGCCCACCTCCTACTAACTTTCCAGTCACTTTCCTCACCCAAGTGTATCCACTGTGTGGCTTCTAAGATAGATTTGTTTCCTCTGGGTTTTATTCTTTATAAGAACTGGCTCACACCATATGTTTTATTGTTTCTTTTGATCAATATTATGTTCTAAAATTTACTCCTATAGTTTCATGTTGTTATACCTTATTCATTTCCATCGTTGTGCAGTATATAATTGTATGAGTAAAGTACAATTTGACTCATTCTATTCTTCAGGAACATTTAGATAACTTCCTGTTTGAGTCTATTACGAATAGGGCTGCTATGAACAATTAGTACATGACTTTTGGCACAAATATGTATACATTTCTGTTCAGTGCATGCCTGTGAATTTAATTGCTGGTTATTTTCATATGATCATCTTCTATAAATTATCTCTGGACTTTTTTACTTAGTATAATAGGTATCAAAATTATAGATTTAAACAGAATATTATCTCTGGAACCAGACAATCTGGGTTTAAATAGATTTCCTTTCTATATGAGCTTGAGCATGTTAGTTAAAGTCTCCCTATCTATGCAATGGGTAATCACACAACTTAGCCCTATATACTTATATATAGCTTCATATTACCTCTATATTGTTAGTTGCTATTGTCACTGTTGACAATTTAGTTTGGCTCAAAGGAAAACTAAAATGAGTAATTGCTTTAAATGAGACTGCGATCCTTACAAAGGATTTCATTTCCAGGTATTTATCTTACAGAAGTAGATACTCAGACATACATTGATAAGCAAGAATATTTACACTAGCATTAATTACAAAAGGAAAATAAATGAGGGAGAAATGAATTTTATAAATATGATATAAAATTAAGCAACCACTAAAAAATGTGTCATAAAAATATAGTGACATAAGCAAATGTTTGTGTGTATATGTGTCTTGAATTGTTTTTTAAATCTTTTATTTAATAAATATAAATGTCAAAAGTACAACTTTTGGATTACAGCAGCTTCCCCCCCCCATAACCTCCCTTCCACCCGCAACCATCTCATCTCCCACTCCCTCTCCCATCCCATTCTTCATCAAGATACATTTTCAATTATCTTTATATACAGAAGATCCACTTGGTATAAACTAAGTAAAGATTTCAACAGACTGCACCCGCACAGAAACACAAAGTATAGAGTACTGTTTGAGTAGTAGTTTTGCCGTTAATTCACATAGTACAACACATTAAGGACAGAGATCCTTCATGGGGAGCAAGTGCACAGTGACTCCTGTTGTTGATTTATTTATTTTATTTTTTTTATTTTTTTGACAGGCAGAGTGGACAGTGAGAGAGAGAGACAGAGAGAAAGGTCTTCCTTTGCTGTTGGTTCACCCTCCAATGGCCGCCGCTGCAGCCGGCGCACCGCGCTGATCCGATGGCAGGAGCCAGGAGCCAGGTGCTTTTCCTGGTCTCCCATGGGGTGCAGGGCCCAAGCACCTGGGCCATCCTCCACTGCACTCCCTGGCCATAGCAGAGAGCTGGCCTGGAAGAGGGGCAACCGGGACAGAATCCGGCGCCCCAAACGGCACTAGAACCCCAGTGTGCCGGCGCCGCAAGGTGGAGGATTAGCCTATTGAGCCACGGCGCCGGCTCCCTGTTGTTGATTTAACAATTGACACTCTTATTTATGATGTCAGTCATCACCCGAGGTTCTTGTCATGAGATGCCAAGGCTATGGAAGCCTCTTGACTTCATAAACGCCAACCTTATTTAAACAAGGCCATAATCAAATGTTTAAGGCATCATAAAAGTGATTTTGTTTAGAAAACAAAAGCTAAAAGGAAATGCATAGTATTTTTGTAGGCATGCATAACATCCATTTCAAAGCCATGTAAATTTAGGGATATAGAAGCATATGGAAAAAATGTATCATATACTGAGACAATAATGATTTACATTAGTTTATTCTTTTTCCCTTTGCAACTAGCAATCATTGGCTTACAGACTTTCTGAACTGTTAAATTATTAAGAAAGCATCTTTCACAGAATAGAAAATAAACACATGTTATACCCTTAAAAACCACCAGATCAAGATGGAGATACATTTCAGGAATTTTTAAAAATCTTATTTGTAAATTACATACCCACATGGGCTGAGATTGAGGAATTGGGCAGCATTTGTGAGTATAACATAATTCAAATTGGCCTCAATAATACTTTAAAGTGATTAATAATCATGTAAATGAATTCTAGGATCTTGATTGTATATGAAGGCACTTTACAAAGTTTGTGGAAAACTAGAACTAAAAGATAACTTTGTTTTGGTGCCAAAACAATTCTGAAATCCATGCATACTTTTTCCAGGAACTTTTTCAAGATCCCACATATGAGAGCATCTGAGACAGGTGAAGGCTCAAAAGATGAAATGGATCAACAGTGTTATATTGTTGTCAAAATGCAATCGCAACTCCTAGATGCCACTGCCACCATCTCAATATCCCTTTGAATCTTTCAATTTACCACCTAAAGTTAACAATGCCAAACTAATTTTTTTGTAATATTCACTAGATCAGTCCTACTGAAAATGTTCATATAGAAACATGTTTTTTTTTTTTCTAGTTAACAATGACAAAGAGCACTTGAGTCAAATCATAAATCAATTCACTACTTCCTTAGAGAAAGTCCTGCTGAATTTGTCAGAGGTGCTTAGGAATGCAGTTGCTTTATCATTCTTGTGGAAGCTCTTTAGTTTTATGCAAACTTGGCCAAAATTTAATGGTTATAAGACCAAACTTTTAACTTGTGCTGCACTTGGTCATACTACTGCAATCCTTAAAAACCTTCCAAAATCTTTGCCTGGCACTAAGTCATGAAGCCAAAGTCTTAGTTATGACCTATAAGACCATACATGATTTGATCTCTGCCTATCTCTCCAAACACATTTCCGCTCATGCCCCAAGTTCTAACCACACTGATCTGCTTTTCCTGGAATTATCCAACTCTGGTCCAGTGCTTCTCTTCTTTGGACTTCACACAGGTCTCCCATATTTTTTTTAATATAAGTCTCAGCTCAAATGTCACTGGAAAGGATTCTCATAAACACCCAAGCTGAGCTAGATCTCCCAGGTCATCTGCTACTACCTCTCACTTTCTCTGTTTTACTTTTTTCACCACTCTTAGAACTCTCTGAAATTATCCATTTATAATCTTAATTATCTATTGTTAATCTCCCTCCAATACCCATCAAGAATAGAAGACCCTGTTGTCTAGTTCTCCACTGTAATGCCACCCTGTAAAGCCATAGTTTTTGCAACAAATAAGCATTTGAAAAGACTACTGGTATATGAATCAATGAAGGAGTAAGTTTGGGTTTTACTAGGATCCATATTAGTTGATAGCCCAACTAACTTTCAAAGGCAGAGCTTAGATTTTTATATCTCCCTTATTAAATATTTTGAGCTATAGCTAGTTAATTTGTGAGGAGTTATACATTGTGCTTTAACAATATGTTTTGCACAAGTAAGTAAATAATGTGTTCTTTCTAATTCATTTAAAAATGAACACAGATGAGAAAATTTGAAGTGCGTTACCTACTGAAAAATGGGTCAAAGATCATGAACTTTGTGAAAAATCATTTAGCCTAAATTGTCATTTCATTGAAACCAAATGACCATATGTTCAAAAGTGAAGAAAAAGCAAAACATTGTTTTAATATTTATAAAATGTTATAATTATATTTGTGACCAGGAAAAATTATTTTGTAATATTTTCCTCCTAGAATTATTTTTATTTCATTCATTCAACTTTTATTTAATAATACCTAAAATGAAAGACTGCTTATAGCTGGGCTTTATTTTATCTTATTTATGAGCCCAAATCACTTTCTTCTAATAGGGTAGATGTAATGGAATCGTAACCTTACTTTCAGACCTAAGCATGTCTCTTAACACTTGACAAGCAGGGAAACCATATGGGCCTGATAACCTACTAGGAAAGAATGCCATGGTCATCCAGTACAGTTCCCTAAGTTTATATAGAGTCTAAGAAATTTAAAAAAAGTATCCATATTTTGTATATTCAGAAGTTGATCCACCAAAATGTTTGATTTTGAAAGTAATAATTCATAAAATACTTTGCATATCATTATTCTGAGAAAACACTGAAAGACAAACATACCTTCTTCAATGGGTTCATATTTTTGAATGATCTCAGAAGCAATAGTTTTACTCATCTCAAAAACATATTGCTCTTGTACCAGAAACTGAATCAGATCATTTTCAAAAAGAATTTTCCGGTTTTCAGAATATGCATTGAAAATCTCAACAATTTCTTCTCTGTGTGCAATAATTCGATAAATTGATCTAAATTCTTCTATGGTGATCCTTCCTTGTTTCTTCATGTCATTATCCTACTAAAATAAAAAGACTGGTGGGCTCACAGTGCGAGTATAAAAAAATACGCAAAATAAGTTAGAACATTAGCATAATTCAATTTAAATCACAATTTACACTTGAAAGATGAAACTTAAATTCTTATTACAGATAAAGTAGACAGAACTGTGTGGAGTGATGTCAAAGCTGGATCACCTCTGAAAACCCAGCGGCCATAGTGGGGGAAGAGAGGGAAACTGGAGAAGATGAGGATTCCAGGTTGTCTTTCAATCATGTCTCATTTTTGTTTTTCAATCTACTTCAGTATCTTCTTACAACAATACCAGGCTGTATGCAATTTGGGGGCCAGTGTGCAGCCTGGTTCACAAGTGTCAGAGTGAATCAGATATTGAAGACCACGATTCTCAGCAGAAGCAGTGTTAGTTCTGTAGCACTTGGAGAAGTGCAGTCTGAGTAACCATTGTAGGTTTAGGGGCAGGGACAAATGAGAGATTTCAGTAAGAAAGAGAATTCACCATGCTGTCGCAGAAAATTCACACTTGAACCTTATGAAATAAAAGAAAGTGAGTTGAGTTCTATTATTAAAAGTAACAGAACCACTTTGAGGTTCTGAATAGGAATAAGACTAACCCCTAGAAAAGCAGATTAGCACAACTAGTTGTGTCTTACAAGCCAGAAGATATGGAAAACTGCAGGTGAAATTGCAGAAAATATGAAATTCAAATGGCAAATGGTAAACTAATAATGAAGAATAGATGACAGTGACATTATAAAAGGAAAAGTTGGAAGAAGTTAACATATTAGCATTTCAGACACATGATGAAGAGAATTTAGGAATACCTGGGGCAGGGAGAGTTAGATTAAATAGAATAGTAGGATGACAGGAGTGTGTCACATACAATTAAAAACTGACCAAATAAAGTCAACTTAGAAGAACATTTAATATAAAAAATGTGTTTTTCTTAACAGTTTAACTTCCTCATTACATTATAAACATCCTCAACAAGGAAGCATGTATTGAAGGAACATCGTGTTGTGGTGAAAAGCTGATAGAATTCATAGACAACTAGGGCAAACATCGTATCCCAAACTGCAGCCTGCCGGAGACTTGCACAAATTGATCTTCATATTCTTCAACTGAAAAAATGGGCATACAGGGTACCATGTCATCAGACTGTTGTGAAGATGAAGAAAAACAGGAAATGGTAACTCTAAACACTAACGTATTATGTGTTGTGTATGTCTGATTCCCTGAAATCATATTGCATAGTGTCACATCTTTAGACAATTTTGCCAATAAAAATCACACCATTGTACAAGCCATTGAGCGTAACAGCAGACCAATATGCTGGAAATGGCCTCAACATTTCATTAGGAAAAGTTCTGTGGTTACCATGGAGTTTGGTATAAAGGAATTCAAGATGCACTCTGAGGGGAGGTGTGGTAAGCAGGTTAACACGAGGCTTGGGACACCTGCATCCCCTATCAAATTGCCTGTCGAGTCCCTGTTACTCTGCCTTCTGATGCAGCTCCTTCCTAATGCACCTGGAAAGCAAAAAAGGATGGCTCAAGCAGCAATCTGGGCTGGGAACCAGATGTGAAGAGCTCTGGGCCAGTTCAAAGAGGCAGACCAGTGCCTGCCCATTCAGCAACTAGAAGCAGCAGGGACTGGAATAAACACACGGGAATGAGATGGAGACAAATGTGGGAGAAAAGCTGGGGTCTCTGGTTGTCAGGCAGATGTTGGGTCTCCCAAGCCTATTCCATAACAATGGTACCTTCATGTTATATAATATCAAAGTAATTCATGCACTTTAGCAATTATCATTACCATAGTAAACCGACATGGTTCAGCTTACTGCTTTTTATCTATGGATTTTGAGGTTCACGAAAGTAGATGCTTTAGAATTAAAATAATTTTATTTTAGCTTCATCCATTCTTAATGTGTTGTAAGATCTTAAGCAAGTCAAAGTGTGCCTGTAATTCCTGAAACTTTTTGTTACATATGTTACATAAAGTAAAAGTTATGGTCCTACTGAATAGCAGTATGCAATGAAATACATATTATCTGCTGAGTAATGGAAGTTCGATGGCTTTCAAGCCAGGAAAAGCTTGGTCATTTGAAATATCCCGTGGCAATTTGTTGTGCTGTGTTTTCCCAAAAGATCACCCTCTGATCTAGATGATGCTGGAAAGAATGGGAGCTGTGAAATCCAAAGAAAATGCCAAATATGAAAATCATTGCTTAAATATCAACACCAAATAAGAATAAAGAGTCAAAAATTAAACAAATTACTGGAGCTGGTGTTGTGACACTGCAGGTTTAGCTGCCATCTGTGAGCCCAGAATCTCCTATCAGACTGACAGTTCAAGTCCCAGCTACAGTTTCCAATCCATCTCCCTGCTAATGCTTCTGAAAAAGCAATGGAAGATGATTCAAATACTTGGGCCCCTGCCACACACATGGGAGACCCAAATGGAGTTCCAGGCTCTTGAATTTGGCCTGGCCCAGCTCTGACTGTTACAGGCATTTGTGGAGTGAACCAGCAAAAAGAAGACTGAATCTCTGTCTCTCTGGGTTTCAAATACATAAAAGAAGCCTTCAAAAAACTAATCAGGGCCAACACTGTGATATAGCAGGTAAAGCTGCTGCCTACAGTGCTGGCATCCCATATAGCCACCAGTTCTAGTCCTGGCTGCTCTGCTTCCCATCCATCTCTCTGCTATGACCTGGGAAAGCAGCGGAAGATGGTCCAAGCATCTGGGCCCCTTGCACCGGTGAGGGAGACCCAGAAGAAGCTCCTGGCTCCTGGCTTCAGATGGACCCAGCTCTGGCCATTGCAGTCATCTGGGGAGAGAACCAGCAGATGGAAGATGTCTTTCTCTCTGCCTCTTCCTCTCTGTAACTCTGCCTTTCAAATAAATATATTAAATAAATCTTTAAAAAATTAAAGTACCAAAAAAAAAAACCCACATAGAATAGTACAGGTTGTCTCTGAAGATGATCTTAGTAGAAAGAGAACATGAAAAAAGAAAGCAACAAGGAGTAAATAATGATGGCGAAGAAAGGCAGGACAAATGAACAGAGAAGCATGAACAGGGGAATCTGGAAGAAGAGAAGCAATGAGCAATAAAGATTCAAATACGGGTGCTGAGGAATACAACAGTAGCTGAGATTTGCTCCCAGGTCCACAGGCGTGTGGAAGGTCAGAACTGCATTAACTCCACAACTGCACAGGGGAGCAATATAAACAGTTTCACAAATTAACATTAAATATGTGGAAATAAAGTTTGAAAAATGTAAATCTGCTCATTCCAATTTTCCCTAAACTTTTAGTGCATCTCTGTCTGAAACAAAACCCCAGGGGGTGAGCATTTGGCATAGATGTTAAGATGCCACTTGAGATACCCAAATCCCGTATTAGTGTCTGGGTTCAAGTCCCAGCTCCACTTCTGATTCCAGCTTCCTGCTGTGAACCCTAGGAGGCAGCAAATTATGGCTCAAGTGCTTGAGTCCCTGCTACCCACGTGAGAAACTTGGATGGAGATCTAAGCCCCAACTATTGCAGACATTTGCAGGTAAAAAAAAAATCTGTGTGTGTGTGTGTGTGTGTATGTATCCCTGTGGGATCCATGCGCTTTAAGGTGTCATTGGTGGTCCCTGCCCTTATCCTTTCCCTCCTCACCTCTATCACTTCGGGTGCCTTGCATTTGGTACAGTGTAGGTACCAAGCTCTCTCTCTTGCTGTGATACAGCCTAGTCTGTCTGGAATCCCTCCATTTGGTTTATAACTTGCTAGTTTCTACAAATCTTTGAAATGTATCACCTCCTCTAGAAATCTTCTCTAGATCCATCTGCATCTATTCCCCGGGCTGCACAAGATACCCTTCCTCTGGCTTCCTAGAAGACTCTGCAGCTTCTCCTCTCATAGGGTTTATTAACCTGGAATTAATGTCCGTTTCTATGTCCCTTCTGGAACTGCCTCAATCAGGTAGCTTGTCAGTGGCTGCTTGTAATCCTCATTACCTTGAAAAGGGGCCTGACCAAAGGTATTGAGAATGGGGTCCACCATGTAAACAATTTTATGAATCTGTTGGAATATGTGTGTTTAAGCAACAATTATGTAAAAGAGTTACATTTTTCCCTAGACCCAGGTAGAATAGGCAAAGATATTCTAAAATACATCTTACAGAAAATATGCACATTTTCAGGTTCCACCTCTGTGTACATACTAATGCTTTTTTTAAAAAAAAAAAGATTTATTTATTTATTTGAAAGAGTTACACAGAGAAAGGGAGGAGGAGGGGGAGGGGGAGAAAGAGAAAGCAGGAGGGAGGAGATAGGGAGGGGGAAAGGGGGAGGGGGGGGAGAGAGAGAGAGCACGAGAGCGAGCAATCTTCCCTCTGCTGGTTCACTCCCCCGATGACCATAACAGCCAGAGCTGGGCCAGGTCAAAGCCAGACCCAGGAGCTTCTTCCAAGTCTCCTACATAGATGGCAGGAGCCCAAACACTTGGGCCATCATTTGCTTTTCACTTTTCCCAGGCGATTAGCAGGAAGCTGGATCAGAAGAGGAGGTGGATTTGGACCGGTGCTCATATGGAATACAGGCATCTCAGGCATTTTCACTGGCCCCTATACTTCTGCTTATTAAAACATTAAACAAATTACTTAAATGTGCAACATAAAATAAGAGTAATAAAACCATTTTTCTTCTGTCTAAAAAAATGTTCCTTCATTGGTTATTTCTTGGAAGGCTTTAGAAAAAATACATTTTCAAAGAACTCATTTAATGCGTAGTTTACTTTAGAAACATATCTTTTATGAGACTATGAACACCACCTTCTTTTTACTCTCAAGGCCTAATACTGTACCACCCCAGAGTAGGAAAGCATAATGATTATATGTTTAAATGAGCAGTTAAATAAATTAGGATAAAGGAACATATTAAAATGATTCTATTGATGTCATAATGATAATACATTTTCAGAAAACAGAATGACTGCTTTTCATGGT